CTTCTCTGAATACGTTTTCCTGCTTCTTGTTGAGGCTGAGGTGACTCTGGGTCACACCAGCCTGTTCCTGGTCCTTGTTTGTCCGTCCCTCTGACTCATCAGCGTATGATGTAAGAAACAAAGTACAGGCAGCAACCTCAGCCTACTGTAAACCTGCTGCTGATGAAAACCAGTCTAACAAGTAATTCAGCATGTACCATTACGAGCCTTTAATGAGCCTTTCTTTGCACAAATAGTCTGTGTTATGATGTTACTGGGAATGTCTGAATGATGCATCCAAACAGGGATTTTACAAAATGATTTTTTGAGTCTATTTATTTGATGTATCAAATGCAAAATAACCGACATGGTGAGTTATTTTGTGATTAAGATGTGACATAAAATTATATATTCAGATGCTGAAGAGAAGAGTCCATCCATTAGTTGGATCTCAGATTTAGGGATAACAGTGGAGTTTCTGTCCTATTCATGACACAATGGATGGTCTTGAGAGTGGGGAAAAAGAGCTGCTCCAGCTTTTGTTTTGTTTTTAACCCTCAGGATCATGATGATTTGTGATAGCAACACCTAAATAAAATCTAGTCAGGCTCTAAAGTGAGGAAGACATAACACTTATCTCCCCAGTCAGTAGGCATATATTACAACCTAAGGGTGGTGCTAAAGAAAAGTTACTTATAATGAAATATTCAGGGTTTGATTTTTTCCTATAGAAAGTTGTTCCATTAGTGTTGCGGTTCACAATTCAGGCTAATGCGTGAGAGATCCCCAGTTTGAAACCAGGAAGACACAAATCTAATGAGACACGAATTATTTGTGATGCTACTTTCACTGACAGTAAGGCGAGCCTTTAATACTTCATGAATGTATAAGTAAGAAGAACTGCGCAGACTGGCTAAGTGAAAAACAGAAGCTATCATCATATTCATTAGAATGACGTTAACTATAAAAATTTAATCTAAGGTCCATTTGCTGTTTTTTAAACTGTCATCTATACCCTTGTTCCTCATCATAGACTGAACTTTGATAGACCACATGTGGCATAACTGTCATGCTTCACCTTTCTCATGAAACACTCAGCCAGATATTATCATGGGAATGAAGAACATGAGCAAAAACATTTATTTTGACAAGACAGTGACCTCATTTTTTATATATTTTTTTTAAATTTTATTTAAACTTTTTCTCTTGAGCCGCAGGGACTGCACTTGACAATGACAAAGGTAATCTGATTCAACAGCACAAGTTAATAATAACACAATTTACAGTTAATGCTATTTTATATTGTAATCTGACAGCTACAAATATGAGAAATATTATGGCACAAATGCTGCCACCACCATTCAACCACATACAGTGATGTGATCTGAGTGCTTTGTTAAATTAGGTAGTCAATATTAGACATAATGAAACAGAAATGTTAATATCCATCAGTTGTGGCTGTAGTTTTCCCTCAGATTGAGTGGATTTTGGCTCTCCAACTTTTTCTCTGCCTTGCTCAACAGCTTTAGTTCTCTCTGGGATTTGAACTGGACACTCAGTGGCCTGGGGGCTGTTTTGGATTTCAAGATGGCAGACAAAGCCCTGGGACTTCGTTGGGTTTTTGACACAGCACTTTTCTGGGCACTGTCAACAGATGCTGGAAAGAAAGAAATACAGTATTTACATGCTCTATTCTTCCAAAACTGAATCAGCATTTCACAAATTCTCTGTATCATTAATTGTTCTCTAAACATCATTTTATTATTCAGATAAGTGATTCATATATTCAAAGCACTTGTGACAAACTGTCATCAAATATTTTAAGGCTGCTGAAGTTTGGCTCTAACTGTTGGAAGGAGGGTCTCTGACTCCCACCTGATACCTGGACGCTCTCTTTCTTGTGTCTTTCCTCCCAGGAGTTGAGCTTGCAGGCCCTGGAGCAGTAGGAGACCTTGTTGCAGCGCCTGCCCGGGGTCAGATTCATGGACACTGAGCGACCGCAGTGAAAGCAGAACTTTAACACTGGTTTCCTGAGAACAGGTTTACACGAAAAGAGTCACAAATAAGTTACTAGAAACTGACATTAGTTGAAGTAAAAGTTTAAATGACAGACAACAGGAAAAAGGAACTAGAGCAGCACCTTACTGTAGATGAATGTGAGTGTATGTGTACCTGTGCTCTTGTGTTTCCTCTGGTAGGCTTTTATTTCTGGCAAGAGCCTTGTTGGAGGAAAGGTCTCCTGCCAATCATGCAGTACAAATGCACGCACGCACACACGCATGGACACACACTCTATGATTTAGAGGCATATCAATAATAAAAGGACAAGTGCATTACACCAAGTATCCAGTGGAAGCTATTCTCTCTATATTACCAGTTTCCCTCTCAGCAGCAACCTGCCTCATCAAGTCTTCCATCTTGCTCAGCAGCTTTTGCCGTGCTTCGAATATTTTTCTCTCCCGAATGCTCAAAGCGTGGAAAGGAGTATAAGCAATATGTGAGTCCTAAATAGGAGCATAAAGGCAGACAGGAGTATAAATATATATATAAAAATAAAACTCTAAAAAGCCTTCTCACTCAGCCCCCGTGTATACCAGCATGGCCCTCCATGATTAACATAAAATACTGGATGAACCAGTAAGGTGCAGCACTGCCAGTACCTACAGCTGATAGTCACTGGACATTCTTCAGCAATTCACATTAGATTCATTCAATGTTGTATGGCTGGAGTGTTACCTGTTTGAAGGAGTAGCGTGCATAATCGACTGCAGTTCCAACAATGCCACACACTGTAACTGGCATCAAGATATCA